CACATTCCAGCAAAACTACCCCACACATCTCCCACGCACATCCCAGCAAAACTACCCCACACATCCCAAAACACCCTGCACATCCCAGTAAAACTCCCCGCACATTCCAGAAAAAAACTTTGTTAGTATATAGACAAGCAACAAGAAAGATCGCTAAAGTATTGCACTTGAAAAGTGCTCGTTGAAGTTTAGGATCGATAGAACGTCTTTTATTAATTATAATCAAGTAGACTGCTATGGTAAGTAAGTATATGAACTTGCTTGTACAAAGTGGAGTGAGCACTACCATGTACATAATAAAATAATTGTTAATAAAAAATTATACAACTCATATACCTCATAACATTTACTGTATGTCTTAAAAGACTACTTTTATCTCTTCATTAAGGAGGATGGGTTGTGCAGAATTCACTTCACCGACACTCATCTCGTACGTGGACACAACATATTACCTAAAACAATTCACAGCTTATTTCACCAAAGTTCATTTCACAAGTATTTTATTTTTTTTTTATAAATTACATAATATTAACACTGACCCTAACGACAATGACTAGAATTATTTGGTCGCTGAAATGAGCTTTGGTGAAATAAATTGTCAGTGAAATGAACTTGTCAATGAATAGGGTGTCGATGAAATAAAACATGTCGGTGAATTGTTTTCGGTGAAATGTTATGTCAACGAAATGAGTATTGATAAATTAAGCAGTACCGGTAGATCCTTTGATAGGCTACGCAGTGTATTTTTTGTAATTTAGGCTAGCTGGCATAATTCTACTGTCAACTCTCTCTATTCCGAACAGTCCGTTCTTATATGTAAAAATAACAAAAAGTTCAGTTCACAAAGTGTTACTATGTTGCTGATCCGAATTTTATAATAAAATTTACAAATGTTTCGAAGCTTTGTGTTCGGTTTTTACAGAGTTTATTAAGGGTTCGGATTATCCAGGTCCGGATTTGGAAGAGTTGACTGTAGTTAGCTTGCTTGCAGGTAGGGTTGAAAATTACATTTTACAAACTTAGCAATACATGTAATTTCATGTAAGTTTCAGTAACATGGATTTCATGTAAATTTCACACGTGATATATAGTACCAGCACTATGAAAAACTCGGCTAACATTATTTAACTACAGTAGATTCTGCATAAGGGTTCGCTGATCAAGTCGATGTACATATGATCCAACCAATCATATGAGCGTATGATTACGTACGTTTCTTGTGAAAACTATGTTACCGAAAACTTTCGCCAAATTGCGCAAAATTACGCAAAATTACGCAAAATTATACAACCCTACTTGTAGGTTCTGCAGATAATGCACCCAGGACATATCGATATAGCAACATTTCGACATATATGGTACATTTGGCGCAACTGATACAGTACCCGTGACCTATGTAACCCGTGATATTATAATTCTGGTAAATTTGCCAATTTCAGTTTTTTTTTTCGACCAAAGTTATCAGTAATCGGTTCTACTATTTAGCGTTAGATCAAAATCAAAGTAAGCCTTGTCGAATAGAAAGACACAACGCTCACGTAATAAGCCACTGTTGTGCATATAAACGCCCAATCTTAACTAATACTGATTCATTGTTGTACCTGAAATGTTGTGTCCTTTTAATATGGTTGTACGATCAGCAGGGTAACGCCATTAATTCTGTTGTACAACACCTATAAAAAGAAAAAATCTCTTTGATAATTATCCGATATTTTGTTTGGAAAATCAACTCCGTTCTGAATACTTACTGGATGTTATAGGTTTTTGTACGATAATCATTCAATTAAAAATTCTCTATTTTTACGTCCCGTACAAATATCGTAATAAAGATAAACTCAATAAACTCTTATTAGGAAAATTGACTCCGAACAAACATTTTTATAGGGTTACCGGAGAATCCAATATAGTACTCCGAGTTGAAGTAGACGATGATTTATTTTTTTTTTTTTTAAAAAAAAACAAAAACAAAAAATAGTTATTCTTGTGAATAATCAGTTATAATCTATAACAAAAAAACAAGTA